AGACCCATATACCCAAGTTAACACTGGTCGTTTCCAGTTGGATAAAAGCTCTTCATACTCATATGCCTAGTACTGAACTTGTCATCTTCTGCCTTAAATCTGTTTTCCCTCCTCTATTCTCTGCTTTGGTTGATAGCATCACCCTCTGCCCCAGCCACCATTCTGTAGTCTTTCTAGATCTCATTCTCTTCACTTCACATACCACTCACCAAGTTCTGTCAGTTCTCCTGCCTAAGTTCTCCTTAAACTTATTTCTTCTGATCTATCCTATCCCACTGGTTTATTTTAGGCCTTAATCACCTTTCATACATTCCTACAGTAGCTTTGCCTGCCTCTGGTTTTATTCTTATCACATTTATTCTTTAGTTCAAAGTAATCTTTCTTCTTAGCAAAGTATTCAATGTTTATCATAATTAGTTCCTCCCTAATTCTTCAGACTCACCTCCAACCATTAGTTCCCTTGCACATTACCATCTAGTCACACTGAACCATTTCTACTCCCTTACACATGCCATGTTAGTTTATCTTCCTGTGTCACTGACTAAAACATCCGTTTTTCTCTTCATAGCATCATTTACTACCTTTTTGAACATATTTATTTGAAAAGGCTTTCACTAATTTCCACAAGTATGCACATACAGAGGAGAGTAAATCACTTTTCCCTTAACTAGTTTGGTGCCATAAACCATTTCTTTTATTCTACAATTAAACACCATATTATATAGCAATTAAAGCAATTATTGGTTTACTTGTTAGTTTTCCCTATAAAGCTGTGTTCCTGAAAGCCAGGGACCATGTTTTATTCACCTTTGTATACCTAGAACTGTGCTCAATAATTGTTGAATTGAATGCTTGGTTTTTGTTTCCAATTTGTGTGTGTGTGTGTGTGTGTGTGTGTGTGTGTGTGTGTGTGTGGTGGGGAACAAATCTTAAAACTGTGTGGGTTTTTCCAAATTCTTGCATGTGAATAAGTATGAATTCATGATTGATAGTGATCTTTTTTATTATATCTATTGTTTTCCAAATAATAGATAATTAATTAAATTCACCCCCACTTCCTATCTTTTTAATGTTGAGTTCCAGTAGCAGTTCTTTTTTCTTTGTATTTTCAGTTCATTCCTTTATTCCACATTTTTATTCTATTAGACCCTAAAGTAGTTCAGACTCAGTTTCAATACTCAACAGTTTGTTTTTATTTAAACACTGCTTAATTTTAGAGGAGGAAAAAAATACCCCAAAACTAAAATACGAATAATCTATTCAATAAAAATACTTATGAAAGCTATGTTGACAATTCTTATGTTGACATTTTCTGTGTTTATTTTGCTCTACATACATGTATTTCATAGTCTGATATGTGTGTGGATACGTGAATGTAAATCTCTTGTACACATTGTGCAACATAAGAAAAATGGAATATATCTAAATAAATATTTATTCAGTTATAATCACTTTGGTTCAAAACTAGATTTTAAAAAACAATATCATGACTTTATATCTTTAGATTGAACTAAGAGAACGAGAGATAGAGCGACTGTCCATTGCATTGGATGGTGGCCGCTCCCCTGATATCCTCTCTCTGGAGACCAAAAATAAAACCAATGAAAAGCTTATTGCTCACTTAAATATTCAGGTAATGATTTTTATAATTATTTCATTAAGTTGTAACTCCTAAGTGTTTATAATGGTCCATGGGTTTGTAAAAGTAACAGCTGTTCACTGAAGTATTATTTACAGTGGGAAAAATTTGATAGAGCCAAAGGATTCAGATATAGAGTGCAGCTATTGAGAAATCATGTTTGCAAAGAATATTTAATGAGACAAGAATATATAAATATATACACCATAACGTCAAATATTTAAAAGAGAATAAGCTGTAGACAATGTGATTTTTAATTTGCTTTTTAAAAATGTATATATGAACACAGAGAGTGAAAATACTGGAAGAAAATTCACCAAAATATACTAACAAAGTTTATCTTTGTGCGATGGGATATTCTTTATGATTTTCTTTATTTTAAAATTAAATATAAAAGTTAAACTTGTAGTTTTTAACTACCTGTATAATGGATTCCCTGCCATGCATTTGACCTTTAAAAATTCAGGCATGTCAGTGCTGCCTGGGCTTAACCAGAACAGATAAGGCTCAGATACCAGCATTAGCTCTAGAATAGTGCTGTCCAATATGAATATTATATGAGCCACATATGTAATTTAAAATTTTCTAATAGCTAGATTAAAAAGGTAGAAACAAACAGGTGAAATTAATTTTAATAATGCATTTACCTCAACATATCTAAAATATTATTTCAATATGTAATTAACGTGTAAAATATCATCGAGATATTTTACATTCTTTTAATTTTTTTGTGCTATGTGAAATCCTGTGTATATTTTACATTTATAGCACATTTTAGTTTGGACTATAGCCACATTTAAAGTGCCTTCAGCCACATGTGGATGCTAGTGGCTGCTACATCAGACAGCACAACCTAGAGTAATATTATCATCATAGTGATATTCTTGTCATATTTTTAGAACTCTGTGTTGGAAAAATGTTCACGCAAATGTCTTATGTAGTCTTTCCTTCCATGCTTGAAAGTCTAAAGCCAATGGCTGTGTATTTTTATTAAACCACACATTGTCAATTTTGCAAATTAAAACAATATAAGTTTGCAAATGTAAAGTAGTTGTGGCTTTAATTTTTGGTATTTTAAAAATACAGTATTCTGAAACATTATTTTGAAATTTAATATTTTGGATAATTTTCCAATTCATACACCTGACAACTTATAAATTCAATTTAGGTTGACTTTCTTCAGCAAGCTAATAAAGAACTGGAAAAGCATATACAAGAGCTTATGGAAACCAAGGAAACAGTAACTACTGAAGTTGTTAACTTAAGTAACAAAAATGAAAAACTCTGCCAAGAGTTAACTGAAATAGACCAATTAGCACAGCAGCTGGAAAGACATAAAGAAGAAGTGCTGGAGACTGCTGATAAAGAACTTGGGGAAGCAAAGGTGTGTCGAGGTTGCAGGAGTGTTATCCAGTTTTCGTAGAATATAGTGAGCTTGAGCCCTTTTGATAGCTGATTTGGGTCTTTTACTTTTTATTTGTTTGTTTTGTAATTCCAGTTTTTCTAAAGTGGTGTTTATGCCATCTAAATGCTTGCACTTGTTTTAGTTGTTTGGGTGTATTTCTGAAGCACACCTGTTATTAAGATAGCTTTCCAGACTGCCCTATTTTCCTTCAAGATTTTCATCTCTTTCCTTTTATTCTCTGCATTGTGAGTGACCTTCAGAACTTTGTCCTCTATTGTTTTGTGCTCATGAACGCTTTAAAGGTATTTTTTAAAGCTATGTATGTTCTTCCACATTTTTCATCATCAAGTTTAAATAGATGCAAAGTGGATGTAATTTCATCCATTATAAATATTGATTTCTTAAAATAAAACTGTCACATCGTTCTTTTAAATGTAGCCAGTAGAATCCAAATGACCCTTTCTTGAAATCCCCACAAAATTTTATCCTATTTTAACATGTTTTATGTTTGAGTACCTTTTTGTGATCATCCTGTGAAATGTCTGTGCAGTAAAAAAATACATGAATTGAAATGTTTTATTTTTAAAAATGTCCTGGGGCTATAAGGTTTAAAGTGTTAACATTTTCCTCTGAATAGTGTTATCAGTACAATTATTAGTAATCAGTGGATCAAAGTGACAAATATAGCACAAATATTAAATACTTATTAAATACAAAAGTAAAATTTTATTGGAAATACATCTCTTAATATGATATAAAAGGAGAAAATAGTGCCTTAGTTAAAGGCTTTGGACAGCCCCAGCGTTTCAGATTATCTTTCTGTCTGGTGCTTCAAAAGTTTTTCATATCTTAAGACAGTGTGACATCAGAGGTATGCCTTTCTTTTGAAAAGTGGGAGAAAGGCAGCTGTGAAAGAGAAGGTAGGAAAGGAGAACTCACATGATACCTAGACCACAAGCAGGTTGTCAGGTAGATAATTTTTAAGAAGGACTATATATAAAAAATTAAAAATATAGATATTGCTTTCTTAAAATCATATATATATGATAGTTTCACATGAAAGTCTTCATGTTGTCTCAGGAATAGGTATAACATAGTTTGAAGACTACTACTCTACCTCACTGAGGTAATTTTATACAGTGTCATGTCCACTAATTAGTGGAATACACGGAAACTACCTCAACATAATAAAGGCCATATATGAAAAGCCCACAGCTAACATCATACCCAGTGGTGAAAGACTGAAAGCTTTTTCTTTAAGATCAAGAACAAGGCAAGGATGCCCATTCTCACCACTCTATTCAACATAGTACTGGCAGTCCTGGCCAGAGCATTTAGGCAAGAGAAGGAAATGAAAGACATCCACACTGGGAAAAAAGAAGTAAAATTATGTTTCCAAATGACATGAATCTTATGTGTAGAAAACCCTAAAGATTCCACAAAAAAACCAGAATTAGTGAACAAATTCAGCAAAGTTGCAGGATACAAAAGTAACTCACACAAATCAGGTATGTTTCGATACACTAATAATTAAAATCCAAAAAGGAAATGAAGAAAATAATTCCCTTCACAATACCATCAGAAACAATAAACTACTTAGGAATAAACTTAATCAAGGAGGTGAAAGACATGTACACTGAAAACTAAAACATTGCCGAAAGAAATTAGAGAAGACAGAAATAAATGGAAAGACATCCTGTGTTTATGGATTGGAAGACTTATTGTTAAAATGTCCATGCTACCCAAAGCCATCTAGAGATTCAGTGCAATCCTAGCCCAAATCCCAGTGGCATTTTTATAGAAACAGGAAAAAAAATCCTAAAATTCATATGGAATGTCAGGGGACCTAGAACAGCCAAAACCATCTTGAAAATGGAGAACATTATTAGTTTACTTTTAATTCTGCATTTGTTGCTTTAGTTTTATTGCAATATTCCTGTATCTCATCCCTGTCCTATTCTCCCTTCTTTTGCATCTTCCGTGCTCATGCATACAACATACTGAACACCGCTTCTCATGTCCTGTTGGCAGTGCTCAAGAGCGACACCTTGGCTCACAAAAGATTCCCATTAGATCATAGTATTTTAATCTTGGCATTCAGCACTATCAGTTGCATTAAAGAGGACCCAAGTTGGTAGTAGCAGGTGGAGAGAATGCAACTAGGATAGGAAAATCAGGAAATGACAGCGCCATAAGATGAATTCTAAAAATCAGGGTTCAAGGGAAGTTCTACAAGTATGCAGGCAAAAAAAGATTTCCGAGTAGTCTCTAGTTTCAGATGTTACAAATAGGTCTCTGTAAACATTCATGATACCACGAAATTAAAGGGAAACCTCAACTTTGCCTCCTCTTCCTTGAAATAGAGGCTTAGGGATAAAGCCTCAGAGCTCACTGGTGAAAGAATGCGAACAACTTGAAAAATGACTTGGTCTTATTTGCAGTGTGACTTAGTGATAACTATTCTTGACTTTTAGATGTTTACCTAATAGGCTTTTTATTCCTAGAAAGAGATTAAAAGAAATCTCTCTGAAATGCGGGATCTTGAAGAAACAATGGCAAAACTTCAACTGGTAAGTAGATGTCATACTGAATTGCCAGAACTTTCCGTAAGAAAAATTTATGCTTTATTTTACATATATATTTTTTAATTGACATATAATTTTCACTCTTCGAAGTGTGTAATTTAGTGGTTTTGGTATTGCAGCCATCACTACTATCTAATAACATTTTCCTCACTCCAGAAAGAAACCTCATACCCATTAGTAGCCACTCCCCATTTTCCTCTCCTCAGCTCTTGACAACTACTAATCTACTTTCTGTACCCATAGATTTGCCTATCCTGGACAGTTTATATAAACATACAGTATGCGGACTTTTGTGTCTGGCTTCTTTTGTTTAGCAAAATATTTTCAAGATTCATGCTCATTGTAGCATGTATCCAGTACTTCCTTTTTATAACTGAATAATATTCCATTGTATGGATACATTTAGTTTCATTTATATTTTTACAATTCCTTTCTTTTTATACAGTAGATGGCAAGTTAAATTCAAATTTGGAAAACTTGTTAGGAATTTTATATTCTTTTAACTACATGATTGTCAACAAATTTTAAAACTAGAAATTGATAACTACTTGATAAAGTTGTTGACTTTTGTTAAAAGCACTCAGTCCTCTTTCAATAGCTTTGTTTGGTGTACAAATCATTTTCCTCGTCATACTCTTTGTTCTGGTAGTCTTCAATCGAGAAAACTGGTAATCATCCCAGCAAACACTTCTAGGCATAGTATATAGTCCTATAGTCTGTAACTGGCAGAATGTTTGCTTACAGGTAGACACTCCTGGGTGGGCACCCAAAAGATTATTGAGGGTTTTTTTAATAGTCTGTTCAATTGGATGAGTTTCTGCTAAGATGGGAAACAAAGACACTAATTTCCAAGTTTTCTCATTAAGTCTCTATACAATCAAATCAGCAGTGTTCTAGTGGCATAAAGCAAATTAAAAAATGAACCCATTGTGATATGCTGGCACATAGCAGATGCTCAAATATTTGTTGATTTTTACATGCTCACTATGGATAACACATCACAATGGTTTCCTTTTTATTCAACTGAAGGTATTCAATTCAATTAAATAATGAATATTTGAATTAGCCAAACCTGCTAAATGTTGGCCACTCCTGAGTTTCCTAGATATTGTAAAATTCTCCCATGAGGTCAATAAACAAAGTAGACAAACATCGACATGTTTGATGATGTTTTTATATTGTAAAACACAACGTAAGCTCCAGAAGGGCAGAGATTTTTGTTGTTTATTTGCTATTTGTATGCACACCATATACAGTTGTGATTCAACATGTTTGTCTCAGAACCGCGACCAAGGTTTTTACCAGTGTTGGCTAAGAGTAAGATGTTGCTGTAGTTACTTTCTGACCTGTTGTATTTTTTCCATTAGTGCAGTATTTCATGTATTCTTAGATAAATACTACTGATATCTATAGCTAACATTTGGTAAAGCACTTGCCATGTGCTGGACATTGTCAGAGTGCTTCACGTCGCAGATTCATTCTCAGCAGTGACTCCTCAGTGTCCAGGTACTGGTCTTATACCTGTTGTGCAGTGAGGCTGAGAGAATAACCAACCTAGTTATAGATACCTATGGTCGTCTTAGAGTACTATGTCTTTCTTCTGCTCTCTTTTAAAAATAAAACTTTAAAAGATTTTTATTGCACAAGTACATATTCATTTAAAAAAATAGGACAAGGTGTGAAACAAATTTAAAAAAATAAAATCTAATAATTACACTATTCAGAAACGAGCACTGTTGACATTTGGGTTTTTTTGGTGCTTTTAGCCATAATTAATAATTAACTTCAGTTGAAACCATGTATTTGACTAACTAAAAGTTTCTCTGTGTATGTGAATCACTCTTAAATAAACATACTTACAAAAATATCTATTTTAAGTGCTATAGTATTTTATAAAGTCATTCGAAATCTTAATTATAGTATTAAAATTTGCAGGAATTAAACTTGTGCCATAAAGAAAAAGAGAGACTGAGTGATGAACTCCTTATGAAATCAGACCTGGAAACTGTTGTTCATCAGCTTGAACAAGAAAAGCAAAGACTTACCAAAAAAATTGAAAGTTTTGCAATTACAGGTAAAATATTGATAACTTAAAAAGTGATTGTGATTTCCTCTTGATGTATTTATTATATTAGGAATTATGTTTGTGAGTACTTGCTGTAAAACAGAAATTGCATTGTAGATACAATAGAAAATCTCCCTCTCAAGCATTTTATAAAATTCTTTTTATTTTTGACAGAACCCTGCTTGAATATCTTCTAATAGAAGTATATTCTTTGAGGCAGACTGATTAATAGAATTAATTAAGACTAGGAGGAAGTGAAAAATTGCAGAACAGAATCTTTGTAAGGAAATGCCATTGTATCACCTGAATGTACACATGCACACACATGCACACACGCATGCACACATGCACGCGCACACGTGCACACATGTATGCACGTGCACACACGTACACACATGCATGCGCACGTGCGCATACACACACACACACACACACACACACACACACTTGAAATAGGCTCTCTGCCAGGTACCAATCCTAAATGAGGTTTTTAAGGAACAGGGAAGAATTCATCCACCCATCCATTTATTCCTTCATTTGACAAATGTTTATGAGCTATTATGTTCTGGGCTCTGTTTTGGGTGCAGGGTATATGATGGTAAACAAGATACATAAGGTCCCTGCCCTTAAGGGGCCTTTGTTCTAGATAGAGACAAACTAATTGCACATAAATGAACTAGATTAATTTTAGAAGATAAGAGGTATTAAAATGGGGTGATGTGCTAGAGATGTACTGAGGGAAGGGCTCAGTGACAAGACACCAGCCAGATGAAGATTTGTGAGCAGTTTTCCAGGCACGGAATGACAAGTTTAGAAGTCTGAAACGTCAGACTCCCTGTGTCCTAGGAAGTGAAAGAAAGCCAGTGTGCTATATTAAGACGTGGCTATGCTATATCGTATGCTCTTCATCATCCATGTGGATAATCTGTTTGACCCCTTCTCCCTTTACTAGTTGTATGACTTGAGCATGTTACTTAGCCTCTCTCTTCCTTAGTTTCCTTATCTATGAGGTTAATGATGGCACCTACACAAAAGGTTGTTGCGAGGATTAAATGGGTTAATATATTAAAGGTGCTTAGACCTATGTATTAAAGTTTGCAACTTACTTCCTTTCATAGCTAGCTATGGCCTATTGTTTCAGCATAATCTTTCAGATATCTGAAACTCTCTTGTTTCTCTGTGTTTCAAATGCATACCCATGCCAAAAACCCATAGATCAACCAAAACATTTACCTTCTACACATTTACAAACAAGCAGCTAAGCACTGCTTGTTGTGCACCAGCACATGGATAGCACTGTAAATTAGGCGGTCCCAAACCTCAGCAGCACCCTCAATGATGTATGGACATCTTACTCTGTATTTCTTACTGCTTGATCTCCCACTCTGCAGGGAACCTTTCAAATGGTTTCCATTCTTAGCAAGCCTGTGACTCTCATGCCACCCCACATTTCAAGTGGATGATCTTAACTCCAATTTACCTAAGAGAATAGAAGCTCCCAGGGAGGCATTCCATTAGTTTCCTCTCCCCAGATCTTAAACCTGCCCATCTTTAACTTCCCTCCTTTTGCAGCAGAGGCATGTCTCTCTTATGAAAGGCCACTGCTTCCATCTGTTCCCTGGTTCTGTCCTCTCAAATTTTATAAAACTTAACGTATTATCTCTTTCCTTAACTTAAGTCTTTGTACTGTTTTTTTCCTGCTGGCATTCACAATGCTTACCCTTCTCTTATTCTAAAACAAAATCTTTGACCCATTCCTCCCCAGCCATTCTTTCCTCTTCTTCATAACTTTAACATCTTGAAAAGTCATCCACACGGTGTTTCTGCTTGATCACCCACTAACTACCCTTTAGCTTCTCAGTCCACTCCAGCTGGCTTCTGTCCCCATCTTAACAACAAAACTGCTTCTGTTAAGGTCATCACTCAATACCATTCTGCTAAAGGCAGTGGACACTTCACTCAATTTGTTTAACACACCCATTCCTTCCCACTCTCCTCGTTTCTTCAGACTTTCTGGTCACCCCTTCTCAGGATGAATTTGCCAATTCACCCAGTGCAATTCAGATTGCGTTGCACACTGTTCTTTTGTAACTTTTGTTCTACTGAAGTTGGAATAATTGTTTTACCTTAGCTATGTTGTTCATACTTGTATCCTTAGCTAATGCTGGGCTCATTGTAAATGCTAGCATCAGTAAGTATCTGTTGAACAAATGAAAGGAGAGATGGGAGTGAATCAGAATAGGTCTTGAAAATCATTTCATGCCTCAGAGTTGTAACAAGTATCAGTTAAATTAGATTAAACTATATGAAATCACTAGTATTAGGTCACTTGACTCATGAAAAGGTAATTTCTATGGTAAAAGTTAATTGTGCTTATTTGAAGAAACATGAGTTGTTTTGATCTCTTTGTGTATATACTGTATTTAATTCAAGCTTAATGTTAAAATCATGTATATTATGGTTAATTGTAGATAAGTTTTCTTATAGTGCATTTTCGGGTCACCAGAAAGTATCATGTTGTAGTGTATTGCTTCATTCTGTAGTACTAAATACTACCCATCCTTGTGATAAGACAAAAGCAGCAGGACTTTGACTTACTGGAATTTATTTAAACTTTTAATTTAATTTTTGATTTTGTTATTTTTCTCTTTTCCTCTCAATATTTACCTCATTGATATCTAGCAGTTATAGGTAATATACCAGACAATTAATGATTTTTCAAAGCTTTCATTCTAAAGGTTATTGATGGAATTTATTTGGATACTTATATGTTTTAAGTGTAACAGTGTTTGAAGGTTTATTTACTTTAATTTGCAGAAAGAGAACTTACTTTGGAAGTTGAGAGGATGAGGCTAGAACATGGAATAAAACGTCGAGACAGGTCACCTTCTCGTTTAGATACATTCCTGAAAGGTATAGAAGAAGAACGAGATTTTTATAAGAAAGAGCTAGAAAGACTCCAACATATAATACAGCGAAGATTTTACTCTACAAATGCTGCACGTGAGAAAATTCCAACATTTAAAGCTCTAGAAAAGGTAATTATCTTTTCTTTATAAGAGTAATTGATAGGGCAGGAGAATATCTTTTTTAACATACTTTTCTGGTTTATTATTGTATTAAATGTAACTTAGTTCATACTTGCTTTTAAAAAAAGCCTTTCTTAATTTTGGTTTTTGTTTTCTTTTATGACCTACATCCACTATAGGAACACTGCATTAATTAGGAAAACTACTTAACAACAAAGCATAACATACTGAGTCCTGGAAATTAAGAAAAGATTGAATAGCTCATTATGTATATGGAAGAAGTGGAGGGGCATGTGGGCTTCCAGAAGTTGGAGCCAGGAACTCATGTTACTGGACACTTCCTCTCTTTCTAGCCATTACTTTCAGTATCAGCTGCTTTCTCTCTTTCGAAGCAGAGTGGCTTTGTCCACATGACAGGCAACATGGCTTCATGCCATTTCCAGCATTGGACTAGTTAGAAAGGTGGGTCATATTGTGTAGACCAGACATCTTCCATGCTGGCCATGCAATAAGAGAAAGGAGAAAGTGGAAGTTGGTGCTGGACAGATCATCCCATTGGTCCACTACACCCACATTTACAATTGGTAGTCTAAAGATGGGTACTAGGTAAAGTTAACCACGATTCATGAGAGATTTAAAGTCATGTGTCTCTATCTTAGGTCTTAATTATTTTCAATATTTTACGAGTATCACTTCAGTTCTTTAGAGTTAGCTTTTTTTTAAGCTTTGAAGTTTTAGACGTCCTTGAGGTTTATATGACCCTAACATTATTTACACACTAGATAAAATTAGAAGTTCAGAGTAAATTCATTAAAACTTAGGACATCTGATTTCAGACTTGGCTTAACTTACTAATTGGATCATCTTTTTCCTGAAGATCCTTGTCATTGTCAAACGTTTTTGAGTGATTTTCTTATTAGACTGTTTTTTCACCTCATTGGCTAATGGCTGAATTTGATTTACAGATGTCATTGTAAACACTATGATGTGTTATCTATTAGAAACAGAATGAATTGGTGGGACAATACGGTTTAAGTTAATTTATGTGTCACTGAGTAGTTTTTTAAGCTCCATATATACTTAGGACTCAGGAAAAAAAATCACTGAATTGATCACAGTTGTGTAGGAGAATCTTACACAACATGGTTGATTAGTGTGCTGAAGTATTTATTAAATGAAGCAAAGTAGAAAAATATCTCAAAGTTTTTCACCTAAGTATTCACCAATTCAATTGCTTGGTGTGGATTCACAAATGAGAAAATTTGATTAGGTACTGGTAAAATTAGGGAAGATTTTCTCCCCCTCAACTTATTTACTTCCTTGAAATGTTCTAATGTTACCTGACATAGGTAAAGAATTCATTTTCCAAAGTTTAGAAGTTAAGGTGTTCAGAGCATTTTAGAGTCCCAGTAATGAATTGCAGGCATGGTAGGGAAGAGTGGGTATGTGCAAGAGTGAAATGGGTGGAGTATAAGATAGTTGTGAATGCTGGGAACTAGAGAGTGCATCCCTGCCTAAAATTGGGTATTTTAAACATGCTTAGGAACACTTTGTTAGCAAACCACGAAGACCACTGCAAAGCTGGATTTGATACAGCTGTGAGTTTTCAGCCTTTGCTTTATCAGAAACTGTTAGGCACAGATCTTGGGATTGCAATAATTCAGAAAAAAGTATTGACATTTTAAATATCAGTGATCTTAGTCAGTAATACACTGATTGATTCCCTATTGTCTGGGGAGGGCACTGTCTCCTTTCACTTTGTACTCACCATGGTTCCAACTGTGAGTTGGAGTATAGTGTAGTGGAAAGTGCTTTGGAGTTGGAGGCCTGATAAAAGTTCTAACTCCAAGAACTGGCTTTAAGACTTTGCACAAGTTACCTAAATTCATGGCACTCCAGTTTCCTCATTTGCAAAGTGAGGAAAATAACTACAAGCTCTTGTGAAGATTGTATGAGATAACTTGCATGAGGGTCCAATGTAACACCTAGTTCCTAGTAAATTATTTCATTTTATTAGTATTTGCTGGCTCAAAGCACATCAGGTTTAGTTCGAAAGTCAGGTTCAGTTTAACAGATATGTACTGAGTACCTCCTATGAATGAGGCATTGAGGATATGAGATAAAGACATAGTTCTTATCCTCTTAACCTTTAGCACTGTCCATGTGTATGCATGAGCTCATGTGTCTATGTGTTGGGAACAATGCAGTGGTAAAAGGGAATTACTAACAATTATATATTAACACAAATATAAATATCTACATACAAGATACATTTAGAATAGAGCTAGAGTTCTTGCTTAAGGCCAGTCAGTAAATGTTAGGGAATTCATACATTTTACCAGGTATGATGATAGGCACTGAAGATGTGGGGAATAAGACCAGGTAACTTGCAGTGTCCCTCACAGAGCTTACGTTTTAGTGGTAAAGACATACATTAAACACATAATCATATAAGCATCTATCACCTCATTTATAATAAGTATTAAGGAACAACATGAGAAAGATTCAGAACGCTATGAGAGTATATAGAGGGAGATATAAATTAGATTGGAGAATCTGGAAGGACTCCTTAGAAAAAGTGACTTTTAAGCTGAGACCTAGACAGTAATGAAAGTAGACTGTCAGATTCTTATTCTTTGAGGTCTCCTTTCCTGAAATCTATGCAGACCACCTTCTTTCTGTAAGATACTTTTGTTTAGGTATGGTTAGTTTACAGATTTTCTTTTATACTTATTTAAGCCTTGATTAAGTCCTCAAACCCTAATCTGCTTTTGTCCTATAAGACATTTTATCCTTTAAGGTGTCCAGATAGATAATCTCAACCATTATGCCTTGATCTTTGCTTATTTAACCAAGAGGATAACTTATTTCCAAGTGGCAGGTGAAGGGTACCTTACAGATATCTGTATTACCAAAATAGACCTCACATTAGTTTGAAGCTGGGACAGTTGGAGATTGATGTGCCTGGGACATTGATCTTAGATTCAGTCACGAAAACACAGAGGAATGTACTAGGCTGTTACAGTTACACTGGATGAGCAGGCACACCTCCTAGACCTTCCTCTGGAAAGC